TGCTGGTAATATTTTTTCCTTCAAAAATTCATTTAGGATAGGTTCGTATGAATAGAATAAGTACTCTTTGTAAGAAATAAGCTTGTAGATCAGGTTTCATTATTTTTTTAAAGAGGTTTTTTGCTGAGTCAAATATACTGATGGTAATTTTTTTTTTCTCAAATATGTATTGCTGGCAATATATTTTTTTTTAAAATGCATTGCTGGAATTTTTAATATAAAAATCTATTTATACTTCCGTAGTGTTTTGACCTTAGTTTGTAGGTTCACTATTTGCCCATAGCTGGGGCTCCTAACAGGTGCTACTACCCCGGGTCAGGATGGGCCTGGGAGCAACAGCAATTAAAATGTGGTTCATCGCTCCTCAAAAACCTCCTGATCAGAGGCCTTGCAGCCGGATATAGTTTATCGTCATACCTAGGGCGAGACTTTCAATGAAGCGCGTCACTTGTCAGAAGTGAAAAAATATTTATTACCTATCGATTTCGAAGGTGGGTCATGTTCATGATAGCAATACAGTGTAAAATCAATTCTTGAGTATGAGGAGCTTATCCAGACAGTTTCAAACTGTTACGTTTGAAACTGTGTTTTCATTATTGATATCTACGTGTGTCTTTTATTTCTTACTTTCACAAAGAACCAACGGATGTATACATTTTTTTCCTCAAGGACACATGTCACAGTGGATAAAGGCGTTGGTTAGATCCAGTGACAGAGTGTGAGTTCAATACCCGGTTAAGGTAGGGGAGAACTTTCACAGGGAAATTAGCAGGAGATAACTGATAACTGACATCCATCAAACATGGCACGTGGAACTAGAACAGTCTACCCCAGTGAGCGAAATAAAGGGTTCACTTCGAAATTCCAACCACCTGAAGAAGGCCGGAGCGTACAACGGTCGAAACGTTGTGATAAATATGGCGACAAAGATGAGGACAATAGTCCAAATAATGTACATAATACCTCATCTCAGAAATATAGACAGACTCTGATTTTTTGTTTTCTTTAACAAAAATATCTTAAACAAAAAATAACAATTGCCTAACGCAATAAATTTTGTTCATTTTTCAATAAAGATTTTTCATTAAAAAACAAAAATTTTGAATTCAATATTTCCGAAGAATATTAAAGGGTGTAGGAATTTTTCTGGTTGTGTCGTGTGTATGTGTGTGTGTGTGAGCGCCCGCGCGTTCTCGGCAGTGAGAGTGGAATGATGAACAAAACCCAAGGTTCGCAAGAACTGTTCAACAGCTTTTATTTATGGTTGAAATAGAGGACAACATAATATTTTCCGGCAAAAAAGTGGGGTTTCCGAGTTAACAAAGTTCTTGAGTAGACGTTTTGTAGAGACAGATTTCTCCGCTAGTTCCCACGGGAGGAGCGAGAAATCTGAGTCAAGGTGCCAGGACAGGTCTTGTCTTCTGAAGCAAGACTTGAGCAATCCTTCGAGCTAGGCTTGATGGTTGCGGTTGCTGAAAATGAAAAGTGGAAAAGAGAGCTGGCCTTGAAGGTAGAGGCCGCTGAAAATTAAGAATGGGAAAGAGGACGAAGAGGGAAGTTTTTATGACTTCTGGGACTTCCGGTTGTACCCTGCTGATTATTTTCGTTGCTGTTGCTGAATCGAGCAAAGTAAGGAAGCCACAATAGCCAACAAGTGTAAATAATTAATATAAACCAATATTTATTTAAAAAAACAAAACAAAACAAAAAGAACTTTTAAACATTCTGAAAATTAAAGTAAAGATCAGCACGCGGATATCAATAACGTCACTAAGACACAAGATTAAAACTAAGAAACTATTAGCATAGAACTTACGGTTGCATCTAGCCAATTCAACTTTAAATTCATGAGACCTTGTTGCCAATCTAGTACTGCGTTTAAATTCATAAAGTTTAGGTACCATAGCGAAGAGCTCATCCGAACAATTACCATGAAAGTATTTATAGAAAAGACACAGGGAGGCAACCTTACGGCAGTGAGAAAGTGACTGGAGTCGAACTGCCAGATCAGGACCAATAATATTCCTGATTATCCTTTGGACTTTATCAAGGATCTCTAAATAAATAGCAGGAGCACCTGGCAGCAATATTTTAAGCATGGACGAATGGTAGACTTATAGATATGTAAGATAGATTCTGTCGAGAAAAATTGTTTAGCACGACACAGTTAACTAATTTTCTTAGCAGTTGATTCAATGTAGTAACGCATTAAAGTCAGGGATCGATTTTACACTTTATCTCTGTTATGAATAGGAACTTCTTCTAAATCGATGACTAATCAATATTTTTCGATTCTGCAAAGTGTCGCGGTCTAAGGAAGGTATCAGTTAGTTAAGTGCCATGCGTGATACACGCTTAGGCGATCATGTATCTTTCAATACATGACTGACGAGGCAGATTTTTCCCCCAGTAGGTTGCCATTTCTTTCTGCGGTAGACCAGTTGCTATCCAAGGCTATAGAACCCGGTCTGCCCTGCTATTTACCCATAGCTGGGGGAGAAGAAGAGGATTCGTAACTTAAGATTTTCCAAGCGTAGCTTAGATGTGGCACAAGGCCAAAAGCATGGGGTATCCAGTGAGGATCGAACTCACTTTTCAGTAGTAACTGACATAGCAAGACAAGCTTGTTAACCATTACAACACGCCGAGATGCCCAGAGGATTCATAACTTTCCCAAGGATATTAGCATGTAAATGAATTTCAGTCAGTTATGTGCCATGTGTGATACACGCTTAGGCGGTCAGGTATCTTTCGATAAATAACTGACAAGGCAGATTTTTCCCGCAGTAGGCTTCCCAAGAATATTAGCACGTAATGGATTCGACTAGAATTCGAACTCGGCTCTCCGAGTCCTAAATACGAGCCGCTCCCAAGTATAAAAAAATAGTAATTTACAATAATTATTTAAAAAAAAAAAAAAAAAAAAAAACTTCTGTATTTTTTTTTTCGAGTGAACCACTCTACTTAAGTAGTGTCGCGGCCTCAAACACAGGGTCACATCAGAGTCATTACCTGCTGAAGGTGTGGTGCAGTGGGTCAGAAGCAGGCCTGTTGCCAAGGTGTTAGCAATGGAAAGGGTATCAATTCCAGAGGTATGGGCATACAGTCTAGAGGCACCCACTGGTGAAAGCGTGTTTTCTCGCGTTAAAATTTGTTCGCATCACATACAAAGATGGGTGAGGCTGTTAGAGTAAAAATTCTCAGTTCAGTTTTCTTTAATATGTCAAATGTATTTCTTTTTATAAAAATAAAGATCGATACATAGTCACAAAGTACATTTTTATACCATCTCGTCGGGGAGCTGATAAAGAATGAGTGGGCGACTTTTATTTCTCTTCCTCGGAGAGGAATTAGAACACACCCTATTGACCTTTGACCCTGTTTACACTTGGTGGATAGCTCAAACTCAATGCTACTACTGCAAAAGTATGGAAGACGGTAGGGACAGATTTAAGGAAAATATTGGTTACGAAAATGGCTCCCTGCCGGCGATAGTCTATGGGCCGCATGTAGCTGGTGGGTTGTGTGATTTATATAGTATTAAAAAAACGATCATAGCAAGTTGGATACTTCATTGTCTGAGAGTCATGACAACTTTAGATGTGTGTGTATACATTTTTTTTTTTTATCGAATTAATGTCATGGCTTCAATTCATTTCGCTAAATAGAAAGAGGTGTAAGACAAGGATGTGTCTTTCCACCGGACTTATTCAAACTATACAGTGTGATGATTCTGAAATAATTGGAAGTCCTGCTAAGTTTCATTTGGCGGACACAATCTTAACAACATCAGATGTGCAGATAAAACAGAAAGGAAACTACGAGAACATTCAGAATGTAGTGAAGGAAAGCGAGAAGAAAGGACGAATTGTAAGACAGAATTCATGGTTCTTAGCAAAAGGAACATCCCAACATGCAAATTGAAATTTCTTTTCTTTTTTAGTTTCTGTGCACATATTTATGTTTTATCCTCGATTGTCTCTGAAGAGCGAGGAGCGATAATCAGTTAGTCCTTTTTCTTTTTATCTTTGCTCTTTCGCCCATTTTTTAAATATATCTTCATATATATATATATATATATATATATAATCATTTCACCCCAAGCAAGGCAATAAAGCCACTAAGACGCAAAGGATTACTGAATATTAAAAGAAAAGATACTATTAAGGAGAGAGAACAATACAAGATCTTAATTCTTTTATTAAGAAGGTAGAAGATAACGATTGACATTACATTTAAACTTTTGAAGCTCAAAGTTGACTGGGGAAGCAAGAAGCCGGAAGAGAGCTCCACAAGCGAGAAGTGCGAGAGAAGAAACCATTGTCAGAGAACTTACGGTTACATCTAGCTATTTTAACAGTAAAATGATGAGACTTTTCCGCAAATCTAGTATTGCACTTAAATTCATAAAGTCTATGTTCTATAGAGAAAAGTGATATTTATTTTGAAAAATACCCAAATGAGGCATAAGGTCAAAAGGGAAAATAGGGAGCGGTTGGTCTTATCTTAAACTTAGCTAACCACAATTACAATAACCCAAACATACCACAATATCCCTTACACTAATGGTTCTCAAACATTTTTTCTCTGGGCTGCACTTTCGGAATTAAAATTTTCTCTCACCTTGTCAAATTTAATGTGATAAAAAATACATTTAAAAATAAAAACAAATAACAAACAGATGGTTAAATGGAGATAATCGCAGATTCGAAGTCAGAACATTATCATTAATAACTTTCTCCTCCAATTTGTGGAGCCTAGATACTATATTATTAATACTTGATATGCTGCAAAAATATCACAATGATAAAATCGGTCCATAATTATTTATAACTGTTTATACTGGGAATCACGCATGCAGGTACAAGTAATCCATAATAATATTTTACATTTTGAAATCATATTTATTTTTTGCATATAACATTTTTGAAACTGTTTCCAAATCTTTGATTGTCTTTCAATCATTCCGCCTCACCTGCTATCCTCTTTTGCCTCACCAGCCATCCTCTTCCGCCTCACCTGCTATCCTCTTCCGCCTCCGCTATCCTCCTCACCAGCTATCCTCTTCCGCCTCCAGCTATCCTCTTCCGCCTCACGAGCCTATCCTCTTTCCGCCTCACCAGCCTCATCCTCCTCTTCCGCCTCTCCAGCTATCCTCTTCTTCGCCTCTTCCGCCTCACCTGCCTCACCAGCCATCCTCTTCCGCCTCACCTCCCTCTTCCGCCTCACCAGCTATCCTCTTCCGCCTCTCCAGCTATCCTCTTCCGCCTCACCTGCCTCTTCCGCCTCACCTGCTATCCTATTCCGCCTCACCTGCTATCCTCTTCTTTCCGCCTCACCCGCCTCACCAGCTATCCTCTTCCATTCCGCCTCACCTGCTATCCTCTTCCGCCTCACCAACTATCCTTTCCGCCTTCACCAGCTATCCTCTTCCGCCTCACCAGCTATCCCTCTTTCGCTTCACCAGCTATCCTCTTCCGCCTCACCTGCTATCCTCTTCCGCCTCACCAGCCGGCTCCCTCCCCTCTTTCACTGCTTCTTCCGCACCCATCCTATTCCGCCTCACCAGCCTCTTCCGCCTCATCAGCTATCCTCTTCCAGCCTCCTCTTCCGCCTCACCTGCCTCATCCTCTCACCTCCGCCTCACCAGCTATCCTCTTCCGCCTCTCAGCTATCCTCTTCCGCCTCACCTGCTACCCTCTTCACTATCCCTCTTCCGCCTCACCAGCTATCCTCTTCGCTTCACCAGCTATCCCGCCTCTTCTTCCGCCTCATCAGCTGCCTCTCCATCCTCTTCCGCCTCTCCAGCTATCCTCTTCCGCCTCACGAGCTATCCTCTTTGCCACCTATCCTCTTCCGCCTCACCTGCTATCCTCTCCGCCTCCAGCTATCCTCTCCAGCTATCCTCTTCCACCTCACCTATTTCACCCTCTTCCGCCTCACCTATAACCCTGCTATCCTATTCCGCCGTCACCTGCTATCCTCTTCCGCTTCCGCACAGCTTCCTGCCTCACCAGCTATCCTCTTTCCTTCAAATCCTCTTCCGCCTCACTGCCTCTCTTCCGCCTTCACCATCAAAACATCCTCTTCCGCAATATCCTCTTTGCCTCGCCAGCTTCCTCTTCCGCCTCACCATTCTTGTTATAAGGCACACCGCACAGTTTGGAAATCACTATAATTCTTGTTACAGTTACAAGGTCTCATAGAGGAAAGTTCATCATAACAATTACCATGAAAGTATTTGTAGAAAAAGTCACAGGGAAACTACAGCGGCGGTGGATATGCCCGTTTTTAAAGTCCTAACGATTTTTTTATATAAATTAATCAACATGAAAAAGTTCGAAACTTTTGAAATAAGTAAAACTTGGAAAATTGAGAGCTTTTGAAACGATAACATTTACTTAGCCTTAAATAAGCGCGGTATACGCCATAGAATGACGACGAATAAGTACCTATCGTTTTTGCAACTTAGGGAATTCTCTAAGCTTATTCTATTGATATTTTAAGGGTGCGGTGATGAGAAGGTTAGCTTTGTCAGCCAGAAGTCGATCGATTATTGGTGTCCACCTTTTTATAGCCTTATATCAGCACATATTAAATTATATTATATTATAGCCTTATAGAAACATATGTCCATATCTATTTAATTTCCGGTTTTCCGTTAAATGTTTTGGACGGACGAAGAGAAAAAGTAGAGTGTTCATAATTCCTGGAGACTAGTTTTATTATTTCTTGAAAGTAACTCAGTGCTTTATTTATTTCATGTATGAGGTCTGTCTCAAAAGTACCGGGATTGGTCCGTCCTGGGTATGAGATAAACTACATCCAGCAGCAAGGTCTCTGATCGGGAAATTTTGGGGGTGTTTGGAACTACCTCTTAATCGCTGTTGTTTCCCGGTCCATCCTGAACGGGGGTAGTAGCGTGTGTTAGGGTCCCAGCAATGAGCAAATAGTTAACCTCCAAAACAGAAATCAAAACACTATGAACGTATAAACACTTTTATAGTAAAATTACCAATAATACATTTTCATACTAAAAAAAAAATTCAGACTAGCAGGGATTTTTTACTCAGCTCTCAGCTGTTGTCGAACTCTGCCTTCGGGCAGAGAGGGACCCGGACAAGGTTTTGCCGAAGGGCAGAGTCTCGTCCGGGGAGGTAGACAGACCCGAACCCGTTTATGCGGGGTTTACAGGGAAATTTTGGTCGAGTCTACGGGCTCGGATTGCCCCACATTAAATTCGGCCTTGTGCCATATCCTGCCGCGTGGGGAGGTTGGTAAATATTACTAGCTGGGATCTCTTACTCAGCTTTTAGCTGTTATCGAGCTCTCTGCCTTCGGGCAGAGAGGAATCCGGTCGAGGTTTTGCCGAAGGGCAGAGTCTCGTCCGGGGAGGTAGACAGACTCGAACCCGTTTATGCGGGGTTTACAGGGAAATTTTGGTCGAGCCTATGGTCTCGGATTGCCCCACATTAAATTTGGCCTTGTGCCACATCCTGCCGCGTGGGGAGGTTGGTAAATATTACTAAAAAAATTACCAACAATACAGTTTCATTCACTTTTTATGTTTGTGCCGCATGTGACACTTCAGCCTCGCTAGTGATCTGCATGTAAGTCCACATATTGTGCAACAGCGAGTATCTTGGGACATAGCAACAGGAATATTTGCTGACGCTTTTCGACGTTGTCTTTCGTCTCTTTACCGGTCAATACAACTAATTTAAAAATTATTTCACACATACACAGCCTAGTATACGTTCTTTTTATAGATACAAATATTTAAGTAAATTCTCTGTTTATAATAAACAGTATTAACTACATTTACCGGCCTGAATGTTCGAGAAATTTTCATAGAAAATATGCGTCCTCCGACAGGAATCGAACCATTATAATATACGGAACCGTCATATAGCCTGGCGTGCCTTAACCGATTGGGCCACAGAGGAGCGTTCGGTTAGCAAGGTCAATTTTACTGTTTTTAAACACAATTCTCCATGATTTTCTCTCATTTATTCATATATGCTCAATGCGTATCCAAATGTAAACAAATGACGTCACACATTATGAAATGATAAATGACGTTATACGTTATGAAATGGGCAAAGTCCGACAATTATTTTAAGGCATTTTTATGTTTATACATGCTTTTTATAGATATAAATATTTAAGTAAATGCTCTGTTTATAATAAACAGTATTAACAACATTTAACGTCCTGTCGGAGGTTACATATTTTCTATGAAAATTTCTCGGACATTCAGGCCGGTAAATGTTGTTTAATACTGTTTATTATAAAACAGAGCATTTACTTAAATATTTGTTTCTATAATAAGAACATATAAACATAAGAAATGTCTTAAATAATTGTTGGACTTTCTCCATTTCATAATGTATAGCCTAGTATATATGCCTTATTTTCCAACATTTTTCTCCGGCTGTTATTCTGACGACAGATTTATTATTATTATTATTATTATTATTATTATTATTATTATTATTTTCTTTGATTTCTGGTGGACACTCATTTCTTTCCGGGTCCCAACCAGAGATCTATGGTGAGAAATGGCATCATGACATTTTCCACTGAGCAATTTTGATGAAAAAACTCAGTTACATTTTATATAGATAAAGACCTTCGTAAGGTGTGGGCTGTACTGGTGAGAATTTTTTTTTTTTTTGTATTTCTTTAAGGCATGGGCTACCAGGAATCCCTTCAATGCGTCTACTGGAATCTTTTCCAATCAATCCGAGGGCTCCAACTACAACTGGAATTGTTGATGTTCTCATGTGCCACATTTTTGACATTTTGATTTCAAGGTCCTTGTATTATTAAAATAATTTTGAAGATCTTCAAAGATACATTGCAGTCTGCAGGGACTGCCATATCAATAAGGCACTTTTTGTCTTTGCAGTCTCTACTGCAGTTTCTTTATTATTATTATTATTATTATTATTATTATTTCCTTTGATTTCTGTTGTATACTCGTTTTTTTCCGAAGACCTAAGGTCAGAAATGGCATCATGACATTTTCCGGTGAGCAATTTTAAAAAACAGAAAAAATAAACTACTAAATCTACTAAACTACTAAAACACATTTTACATAGATAAAGCCCTTCGTGAGGTGTGAGCTGTACTTGCGAGTACAATTTTTGTATTTCTTTACGATTTTAGTTACCTTAAATAAATCTATCGGAACCTTTCCAATCAAACCAAGGTCTCCAACTACAACTGGAATCTTTAATGTCCTCACGTTCCACATAGATGAAATTTCGATTTCAAGGTCCTTGTAGTACTTTGATAGTTTTTTGAAGATCTTCAAAGATACAATAGTTTTCAGGGACTGCCATGTCAATAGGAAGGCATATTCTGTTTTTGTGGTCTTTGATCAGAAAATATGGGCGATTATTATTATTATTATCTTAATCTTATTTCCTTTGATTTCTGATGTATACTCATTTCTTTCCGGGTCCCGCCCAGGGACCTAAGGTCAGAAATGGCATCATAACATTTTCCACCGGAAAAAAAATTACCTTGACAAAGCCCTTCGTAAGGTGTGGGCTGTACTCGTGAGAACAATTTTTTGTATTTCTTTAGTATTATTATTATTATTATTAATAATAATAATAATAATGTGTTTGGTATCATTTTACCAGAGAGTAATTTCAAATACCTAATTACCAAGTTCCCTCCGTGGTCTCTGAGAAAAAGAGCACTGTAGGAAAGTTATGTATAAACATTTGGAATATTTCGTTTAGATGGAAAGAGTTTTGTGGATGATAGGTTCAGTTCCGCACAAAGTAATCTTTATAACTCTGAGGTGATGGGAATTTTACTCCCATGATTTTCGGTACCCTTCTTTATCATAACTAATGCCCCGATCGCAACTGGGATAATTCTAGTTTCAAGTCGCCACATTTTTGTTATTTCGATTTGCAGGTCCTTATAATTTGACAGTTTTTGAAATTCTTTTTTAGAAACATTGGAATCCTGTGAGCAAGTCATATCAATTAGTTGGCAGGTTCCTCGTTTGAATACTTTTAATTATTATTATTATTATTATTAAACAAATTGATTCGGGTAACTCTTCCAATATATTGCCACACTTAGAGAAGAGCGCGATTTAAGAAAAGAAAAAGAAAAGAAAAGACAGTGCTTGACAATATTCAACAATATTTCGACAGTATGTCTGTCTTCTTCAAGTTACGTTTAAAAATTGTATGCAATATAACAAATATACAAAAAAACTTGCCAAGACTTATAATTTTTTTGTAATGCGGGACAGGTGGGAGTCTGCAGACAGCCCCAGGGACAGATTCTCAACTAGAGGTTCACGAATTCTAAAAGCTGAAATAAATTAGGTTAGCATTTTTGAGCGCTAGATATTCATATTTAATTATTTATCAATCTCGAAATTTAAACGTTCAATGCAAAATAAGCTTTATACAGCCAGTTCAAAATAAGTTTTATACAGTTAATGGAAAATAAAAGTTCACTTAGAATGTTAGAGTGATAAAGAAATGTATTTTAAGAAAAACAATAGCGACAGTGAAAATAATGCTTTTCATTGGTTATTTAATTTCAGTATGAAAATGAAAGAGAGAGAGAAAGAGAGAGAGAGAAAGAGAGAGAGAGAAAGAGAGGGTAAAGGAATTGCCCAGGCGTTCATGTTTATTAAGTAGATATTAAAAAAAGGGGTGGGGGAAGAAAAAATTATGCCTATTTTTTAAAAGGAATAATCGATTCACAAAATGTGTGACATAAACGTTTATCGTTCACTGACACGAGACATGTATCTCAGCATCAAAATAAGGAACAATCCAATATTTTGTGCTAGGGTTGTCAACTCTGTAGCCGAGACATCAAGGTGATAGTTTGACCATGGTCCTCGGCTGACTGACCCGATTTCAGATTTTTTTCTGATTTCTTCTAAACAAAGAGAAGCAATTTTATGATTAGGGCTTTACATATTTGTTTTTTGGGTTTTTTTTAATCCAGTTTCTTCGTTTATTTTTCGCTCCTAATTCTGCGTTTCATTTTTACCCAGCAATTTCTTCTTCGTTTCGTTTTTAGTCCCCAATTTTTTCTTCGTTTTGTTTTTAGCGTCCAGTTTCTTTGTCCGTCTTTAGCCACCAGTTTTTTCTGTTTCGTTTTTAGCCACAAGTTCTTTCTCTATCCCTTTTTTTAGCCCACAATTCTTTCTCTATTTCTTTCTTAGCCCCCAGTTTCTTCTTCGTTTCGTTTTTAGACCCCAGTTTCAATTTTTTCCGTTTCATTTTTTATTTTTATGTGGCTATGTGAATGGACAGGTCTATATCCCCCGAATTCCTACAAACCTAGAGAACCTTAAACAGAGAATCACTGAGGCACTGAAGCATGTTACACAAGACATGCTACAGCGCGTTTGGCAGGAGCCGGACTACCGACTTGATATGTGTCATGTCACAGGTGATGCGCATATTGAACATTTGTGTAAAATCTACATCCCTTTGTTCGAATTTTGATAAATCATTTATTGATCAACATGAAGCCTATTTAATTTCGTTCGCCTGAGGCATGTAGTTACTCAATTGTTCACATTGTAAATTATATTAATTTTGGAGACATACTGCTTCTACTCCACGGCTTGAAGTGACACAAGGTCGTTATAACGTGAGGAGCGCTATGCACATACGTATGCATATGAGCCAAGGACAAAAATTGTATTTTTGCCTAGCCCCAGTGACCACTGTCACGCTGGCAACAGTATTACACCGACCCCACTTCTTTCGATGAAGAAGGTGCTGCCGCAGAGTTGGAATCCCTGGGGATGAGCAACTTCTCCCATCTAAAATAAGGAGAAACATAGGTCTACTTACTGAAGAGGAACAATAACCACTCTTCAGTAACCCTTGTTGTGGGCAGTAGGTTGTTGTGTTGTGTTGTGTTGTGTCTCCTGGAATGTTTATCCTACAACAAAAATGGCGGACTCGGTATGAGAGTCCGGGTAATAAAATACAAAGAAACAACCAAAACCAATATATATATACAATCAAATGCTAATGTATTATTAACAAGACAAAAAGTTATATTACTGCGAGCGACAAAGACAATTATATTGTATGTATGTGAAAAAATGTGTATAGAAGTCTTTTAGAAAATGAAGCAAAATGAAGTTGCGTACGTACGTGTGTGGGTGTGTGTGCGCGTTTTCCAATGAGAAACGCGTTTTCACGATTGACCTACATCCTAGCGTGTCTAAGGAAAATAGAAAAAAGAGAATTATGAGAATGTCACTATCTATTTATAGGCTGAAGGACCATCCTCTACAGGCGTTTTTTAAGGAAAGTAAGTGAAGTTAACTCCACACACCCCTATTGACTAATGGTTGGGATAATGTTTGTGTACGGAACCAATAGATACTGTGAGGCGGTTAACACCCCCAGGTATTATCTTACCCAGGTTCCTCGATTGACTGATTTTATTTCTTTCATTTAATTTTATCATGGAAGAGAAATCCCATGGCCGTAATATATGTTCTAACCCATCTTCTTCTCCGTACCGATTTTAGCCCCAGTAAAGCTCCTTTCTACAGGGTACCGGGGCTTGGATGTGCGAATAGTATAATGAATAACAGCTCGGAATTAAATATCTGAAAGCGGAGTTCGAATTCCAATCGGGTTTGTTATATTCACTTACGCACAACACATCTTTTGTCGATCATGAATCGCCCAAGCGTGTCATAACTAACAGGCATTGGGTCAGTGCGATGCCATTCCTCCCCATGAATAGGTGAAGGGGACCTACGTCCAACAAAGGACCTTCACAGGGTGTGAAGAAGAAAGTTACTTTCACGTTCAGAGAGCAGGATCGAACCATCCAGAATAGATTTGCATATATAAGTGAACGTTCCACGAGCCACTTTTATCAAAGCAAAGCAAAAACAAGAGACGGAAAAAAACGAACAAACTGATCAATACCAACTAGAAGAACTAGTTATTGATTTTTTTTCAACTGTTGATCGTGTGTTACTAGCAGTGTCATTGTCAACAAAGCCCACTCGGCGCAGATGACGGCCGCCCGAGCAACGGGACTTATACAAGACTAAGCGATGGCATTCACTTTGATGCAAGGACAGTGGAACCGACACAAAATAACTTTGCACAAGGAAAAGAGGGCGATACGCCATTGCATTCAACAAGTCCAAAGGGAACTTTACGTATTTCGAAAGAAATTCTTTCTGTTCGAGGCGAACGATTCTCATCCATTTGCCCTCAAGGAGTTCCTGCTTCATAACAAAGTAAGTTTAACCCAGAAGGGTCTGTTACCTTTTTTTCTGCTTTTTTTCTTTTACACTTGCTTTATTTTCATTATTTACACAGCGTACCCTTTGCCTGGCACAAGGCCACGGGTGTTTAGTAACCACTGTCAATAAACCACACTCCAGTCGTTGTGGTCTACTTAACTATTTCAAAGCAGCTTCTATTTATGAAAGTGCAAAGTTACACGCAGACAAATCGTGACGGACAGAAGATCAACTCTTCTTTTATAGTATAGATTAATAGTTTTAATTAAGCAACATTGAGCCTGGTGTGTACCTAGATGGGTGACCGTTTGGAAATGCCAGGTGTTGTAAGCTTGGATGTGCCGGTGGTGTAGTGAATAATGGCTAGAAATTGTTAATCGGAGAGCCAAGTTCCAATTCCACTTGGGTTCGTTATATTCACGAACGCACAAATACTCTTGGGAACGCTATGAATCCACGTCTTCTCCCCCCCCCCAGTTATGGGGTATCACTAAAAGTATTATTATCTCAAAAAATAAAAATAAATAAAATAAAATTACGTACAAAATATTTAGATTTCGGCATTAAATAACCCATAGAGGTTGATATGCCGCTAAACAAAATCAACCAACCAACAATACCTATTTATAGTATATATTTAGTTGAAGCCATAAAATTGTGTTCAAAATATTTAGATTTCGGCATTAAATAACCCATAGAGGTTGATATGCCGCTAAACAAAATCAACTAACCAACAATACCTATTTATAGTATATATTTAGTTGAAGCCATAAAATTGTTTTCAAAATATTTAGATTTCGGCATTAAATAACCCATAGAGGTTGATATGCCGCTAAACAAAATCGACCAACCAACAATACCTATAGTATATGTCTAGCTGAAGCTATAAAATTGTCTTCAAATATTTCGGTATTAGAAGTTTATATGCCGCTAAACAAAAGCAAACAACATTATTTTGTATTAGGTCAGCTTTTAGTATAAAAAAATGGAAATTAACATGAAACTCATTAATGTCAGCGAGACCACTATCCTACATTGCATTAAGTTATATTTATTATGTCAAGTTTAGTCTGGTTCAAGGACACTTGTGAAACAGTCAGTGAGGATCATATTCTACAGACCTACTATCCTTCATAGGTGAAATGGATCTATACTAAAAAAAAAAATAAAAGGATTTGGTTAGAAATTCGTTCCATTAAATTATTAGAATTACGTGTATATCTATACCGTAATATATACCGTAAGTTCTACGCTAACAGTTCTTCTCTCGCACTTCTTGCATGTGAAACTCTCTTCCGGCTTCTTGCTTTCCAGTCAATTTTGATTTTCAAAAATTTAAATGCAAGGTCAATCGTTATCTTCTGTCTTCTTACTCTTTTCTTGTTCTTTCTCTTTGATAATGCCTTTTGTTCTCATATTCTTTCACATTCAGTAACCTCTTGCGTCTTAGTGACTTTATTGTCTTGCTCGGAGTGAAATGATTAACAAAAAAGGATGAAAATAATACGTGTAAAAGTTAATACTAATAAACCATTGTATGTCTAAGAAAATTTATATCTATCACATATAAGGATAAACTGCCATCATTATTAATCCCATGACTGGTTGTGGTCGTAGGGTCGTTGCGCAGCTGAACACCTGACTATATGTCTGCATATGTCCCGGCTGACACTGACTGCACTATCGCTATTTCCATGGTACGTGTTCAGATGAACTGCACGCCTTAGTTCCAGTCCAAATATTCACGGCTAAGACCCGACATGCCACACACGATGTAGCAAACCATTCTTTTATATTGTTTTGGTTAGATATAGGTTCCACTCGAGCAGCTTCTCCCACGATATTATTATTATTATTATTTCCTTTGATTTGGTTTCAATGAGAAAATGAAAGGAAAGAATGGATACGTACATCTTGATAATAAATAAATAAAAACTGAGTGGAAATTAATTAGAACCTAATTTCTATTATGATCAAGACATCGGTTTCGACTTGAATGCACTCTGCAAATCAGTGTGATTTATCATCTTCAGCGACTTTGTAAATATCTAGTCTAGTTATGGGTTGAATAGCAAGACAGACTGGGTTCTTTAGCCTTGGTTGACAACTAGTCTACCCCAGAAAGAAATGGCAACCTACTACGGGAAAAAATCTTCCTCGTCAATCATGTATCTTTCGATACATGATCGCCCAACCGTGATCAGTCCTTTCCATCTTTCAATATGTATACTGTGGTTGTTCGTACAATGTCTATGGATGCTAGTCCCCCGTTTAATATTGATGATAAATCAACTTCCATAAGGGTCGTTGGCTGTTTCCAATCATTTTATCTTGTGTAACTCCGGTATTAATATCAAGTCCTTCTTTGATTTTGCTTTCTTAAAGACAACATCCATCAATATTATAACCACTAATCTCCCGAGCCAATAAAGGCTGCTTTTCTTTTTCTTATTTTTTTCTTATTTATTTATTTGTCAATATTAAATGTCCTGATGGTAAAATCTTTAAATACACCTGGAGGCGTTTACAAAACTTTAAATAAAGGTTAACGACCGGAGAAGCCATTACCTTCTTGGCCAAAGATATAGCTATACAGATGAAATAGAAATCAAGCGTTCGGCCGACTAACGTGAATCACGTTTTGTCTCGCCAATGCAGATTTTATTCTTGTGAAATGAAATCCTTTTTACTGAAGACGCCGGTTCATCGCTGAAAGTTGTCTAAGTAGATTTTTTTCCAAGTTGTCTTCTATATTTAGCATCCATTGGATTCTTGTCCAACTGCAATGTACACACACACGCAGTTCATTTTTCTTACTATTGTCTATACAAGTCCCAAGAGAAACTCAAGATAGGCGGTAACTAAATGAGGTTGTTGTAAGGACGTACAGGGAGGAAGCAAGAGGTGCAGATTACGAGCATGTGTAGAATAGATAACGGCTGACCCTGGACTTGAATAGGTTGATATTCCATCCTGTGTATGACGATAAAATAAAACCGGCAGCAAGGATCTGATTGGGCGATTTGAGGAGCGTGGAACCACATCTTAATTTCAGTTGCTCCCAGGTTCACCTTGATCCAAGGTGGTAGCACCTGTCAGGGTCCAAACTATGGGCAAATAGTTAAACCCCAAACTGGCGTCAAAACACTATGAAAGTATAAAAATACAGGCTCCCAAGACAGTTAAATTTCGACATTAAATGACGCCAAACAAACAAACAAAAAGGTTAATATTGTACTGATCGAAGAATCATTCTTTCGGGTGTCTGTTCAACAATGCAACAGTTATATGAAAGAAGATGTCTGATTAGCACTTCCTCTCTGCTAATAGAATGGGAAGGGAATGAGTCGACAATGTCCGTGACCTAATGGGTCCTGGTTGTGAAGGTCTTAACTGGTGACACCAAGGAATTTAGTTCGCGTGAACATCTGCTACGAAAATAGCGATATGTTAGTGTCGTCTGATTAATATTATTATGTAGGTTTCTCGGTCGTAAAGCGTAACTGATTCTAGTTCAGACAAAATAAAATCAGTCTTTTATCTAAGAAATCGTCACACTTAAAAAAAAAAACATTAAAAGAAGCAGTTGTATCTTAAAAGACATTTATTTGGAACGAGAAATATTTTATGATTAATCATACTTAAAACAAAAAAAATGTCATTTAACTCATGCAGACATGCGTTTATATTATAAAAGTAAAACAAACAAAAAATACATCCGACTAGTAAAATGTTAAGAACTGTAGCGTGAAGTGATTTACGATGGAATTTTTTTGAAAGTAGGAATGTCTATAAGAAGTAACAAACGATATATATATATATATATATATATATATATATATATATATATATATATATATGATCTGTTATACCACTCAGCTCCAGAAAAAAGCGCTTAGTTAGCAAAGTTCCAATTACTGTTTATAAACAACAAATCTTCGACGATCTTTCCCGAACGCTCATATCTGCTCACGAAACCTACCTTAACGTAAACATTTTCGTGCGCATGTATAGTCGCATCAACGTTAGATATAAACTTAGTCCAATAAAGTCCTAAAGGACGAAACGCATCACACGAAAAATGTTACACTTTGTCATACTTCATTTCCACTAGAATTGTTTTTGATATCAAATGTTAAATATTGTCACACCCACAAGCGCGCATACACACACATATATATATATATATATATATATATATATATATCTTTCGTTAAATATAACGGACAAGGTAAGTTTTATTAATTTTTATCTGTCTAAAAGTATTATAATTATACTTCATTGTCATATTCGTTTCTCTGGAATTTCGAACCGAACTGTTTATTTCGTTCACAGAGGTAGATTTTTCTTGTTCCACGTGCCATGCCTCTTCCGTGTGTCTTCCCTTTAACGCAACTATGTAAGTTTTTTTTTTTTTTTTTTTTTTTTTGGGGGTATTGAACTCACAGCTCTTTAGTTTTAGTGATTCTCTACTGTTGTAGCCTGGTATTGAACTCACAACTCTTTGGGTCTAGTTAACCTACGTTTTTATCTACTGGGCCATATGTCCTTGATGACATCTTTGTATAAATTTCTGTACTTAAAATCCTAATGTCACAGCAACCGTTTTTAACAGTGCTCATATTGCAATTTTCCGTTATTATTATTGCATATTTCTTACCAGAGCTTATATTGCAATTTTTTTGTGTTGTTATTCATTGCTTTTCTCCAGCACTCCTTATTTCTGGTTCCCATATTCATTTCTATGCTTGGTCGGTGCAGGAAGTTTTTGTGGCCTAGCATATGTGCTGATTCCTTCAGTTTTCGTATTTTCCAGTGATGTTCTTTATCTATCATTTCAAACTCATCCCACAGGAGGGGGGATGATCTCCCTTTTCCCTCCATATGTGATCAGCTACGCCTGATTTTTCTATTTCCCCTCGTGTTACGGCTTTACGGTGTTCTTGCAGTCTTACTTTAAGGGTCGACCTGTTTCTCCTTTATATTTCTTACCG